CTCACCATGCTTCCTTCATTGTTTCCAACCATGGTGTTGTAGCTGCCTGTCATCCGTCTCAGCTCAGTGACTTCAAATGTCACGTCGAGGCCATTAGGAAGAGCATCCTCACCTAAAGCATACAAACAATGGTTTAACACCGAAAACGAAATATGTATGTATAATAAATTGTATAATAATAAACCGTGGGGGGCCGTGTCGTGATTTGTAATACCTCGTGATGTGTCAATAACAACTTCAACTTTTCTGAAGATACCGAGGCGTAGCAGCTTCTGTCGGGCTTCATGGGACTTTCGCATCACCTGCACAACAAATTGAACCATGTGTTGCTGGCAGGGACGGCTACTCACAAGCATAAATTGATCAAGTATTAATTAGTACAGCTGTATTCACATGCACCTACATCAATCAAGTTCTTTGCCCGAAACACTCCTGCAATTTCGTAAGTCAACGCATCCTCCTTGGTTCTTCCGAGCCCGTCTATGTGCACTCGTTGAACAACAACCTAAAAAACAGGAGAGACAGAAAACTACTGGAACATCCACAACAAAATACACTGTAATCATTCATCATTAGCCAAATATTATGATGCAGTTTTTCCACCTATAAAATGACTAAAGCTGCACTTTCAAGTGGGGGCCAACCACAAACAAAGTGTGAGTCCTGTTGAGAGAGTCTGGTGAAATTATTGCCTGGACCAAAACAAATCTTACATCCTTGTTTTCTAGAACTTCCTGCTTTGGCTCCTGCTCAATATCTGGAGCCTCGATGTCGTCAGCTTGAACTCCGAGCTCTGGCCCTTGCATGGGCAGAGGATCCAGGCTCTGTAACACAAAATATAATACAAACAATATAATCACAATCAGAGTTCATACCGTGTTTTACCTATCAAATCAAGAACATAATCTGATTGTGCTCATTTATTATTCTCCACAACAATAAAACACCCAGCAGCAGAGTAGGGCTGCAACGAATGATTTTTTTTCTATTTCTATCATTTGATCTGTAAAAAAGTGAAAAATGTCCATCAAGGTTTCCCACAAATGATGTCAGTTTACGACAATATAAAACAGAGAAAAGCAGCAAATCATCACATTGGAGCTGTCATAAGAGAAAGATAAATTTTTTTGCCTAGAAACATTATTTAAACTATTAATCAGTACTCCTGACTAATGTTCTCTCAATCTAGGTATAAAATGTGACATTTTGTCATTTAAAAAAAGTATTCAGTTTTACAGAGTCTGGTCAGTGACAAGCCAATCTCATCATCATATCTGCTTTGGGAAAATGGGAAATGTTTAATGGGGGGGTGGGGACTAGACGACACATAAACAGAGGGTCAAAATCAACTAAGATTTTATTTATTTTACAGATCTTCAGAGGTCAAATGAAGTGTGATATGAGGTTGCAGAAAACATAGAAAGCTTTATATTTTTCTTTACTGTTCATTTTAATTAGGTAGCTAACAATAATATTCATTGATTTACTCTGGTTATATTTTTTGACTAGCCTGGCCCTGGCTGCAGCTCTGGAAAGAATAAATGGATAAAGAAGCGACAACACTAAGATGCAAGTGTAGTAAACACAAGCTGTTTACTAGGAGAGCTGCCAGTAGCGACAGTGAATGAAGCACCCACTAGCATCTGTCACTTACTACTAATGACTTGTATCTAAATACGCCTCTGGTTCTATCTTTACCTTTAACTGTGGCGTATAAAAAACTCGCTGCCATGTTCAGCAGGGAAGTCATTCAGTTTCTTATCACAGAGCTGAGTGCCTGAGCATTGTTGGACCTTGTTGAATGTACAGTGTGGGCCTTTTTCTTGCAGCACAGCAGCCGCTCTGTCAGATAACTCACTGAACACACAGACAGGTCAAAGTCCTAGCTAACATGTTCACCAGCTTTCGTCTTACCCTGGCATGGACGGTGCCCATGCTGAGCTCCGTAAGGCGCTGTCCCGGTAAAATATGGGTGAAACTGTGTGTGGAAGAAAACAATAACTAATTTAACCTACAAGTAACCGGAGGAAGGCGACGAGGCTCCGTATAAGGAGACGGCCATGTCACTTCCTGACCACGCCTTCAGCTGGTGCGCATTCAACACAGCAACGCTGCAAAATGAGACAATGTATAACCTAGTTGAAAATAAATGTATACGGTATTATCACTATTTCTACTACTAATACTACTATTCTTACTGTTGTGTTAATAAATTACACTATATTATATCGTACTATCATTTAATTCATTCACAATAAATACTACTTCTAATACTGCTAATAATAATAATAATAATTTTCATTTAATTAAATAAAATGAAGAACTTAATTTTGTATTCAGATAGAGATTATGATTGTCAGAGATTATCTCATATTTTAATATGTCTTTCAGGCCTGTTTCGATGGTTCTCCTGATAAAATCAATAAAAACTGTTCTTTTTATGTCTTATTAATCAATTTTACTGTAAATAATTTGGGTATATATATATTATTTTTTACGTTTTTAAAGGGAACTACGTCCTGAATTTTATTATGGAACCTTGTGTTGTAAAACAATACTTAAAATCTTGTATCCTTGAATGTGTTTATGTATTACTTGAGCTGGGCAGCCTCAGAGATAATCCCCAAGGTCACACTGAGGAGTAAACAAAAATATCTTCAATGAAAGCATATAAAATGTATATTGTATATATGAAACATTATTAAACTGAACAATGATGTGGGATTAAAAGTAGAAAGTGACACTTATGCAGAAGATGTAGACTTTTAATGCATCATACCTGTTGTACTCTGTTATCTTAGCTCTTAATAAACAGTTGTGTCTCATAACATCTTGCACCCATACGTGGTGCAATTACTTGAGGCATGGCAACTTGCAGTTTTTAGAAGAAATTCCACAACAATAAACACATTTTTGTAAAAAGAAGAGCAAAACTGTGCTTAAACTGAAACTGTCTGAATCAAATTACATATTAACATGAGCAGTTTATTTACAATACTAAATACATCTCCACATAAAGCCCAGTCCCAATGACAACATCCAAATACATATCAACAGTATATAATGGAATAAATAACACATCAGCTGAGAGGAAGAAAACAGAAAAGTTCACAGCTGTTTATATGTTGCTGAGCATCTCTGCAGGCCTCGAGTCCTGTAACAACACAATAACAACTAAATGAGAAAAAAATTACCATAATAATATAAAGATGTATTCAAATGATTGTGACTATTGTCTTTGTCGTGCTGTTTAGATTTTACAAGATCTTACGCTTCTGTTTTGAAGGTCTCATAGAATATTCTGTCTTCATTTACACCTTCAGGACTTTCATTGATGTGTTTTATTCCCAGCGTGGTCAGAGCTGTGGGAAAAAGGCTGTGATTAATATTTGTTTGTCCAGTGTAGTTATTCTGAGAAAAAAAATTATATACAGAAGTACTGAATTAATACCTGACAAATAAATGCATTAATATATTGTTTATTATTTGTTTGGGTGATCGTAGCATTATGTTTTTTAATATAAATAACAATTATGTGTTTAATTAAACTGGGAGTGTGTGCATTGTCTGCCCAGGAAAGTCTAAGGGTCCATGTCCTGTGCTCACCCTGCTTGTACTGAGCAAAAGTGATATATTTCTTTTTGGCAGGGTCCAGTATCCCAAAGACTGAAGCCAGGTCGTCGTTGTTGAACAGAGTTGGTCCTTTCACGCCATTCTGCTGAGAAAACTTCTGCTGTTTCAGCTGCTCAATAAGAAACTCTCTGGGATTCTCTGAATGAAAGAAGCAATCACAATTAATCACTAATATTTAGGTGCACATATTGTGTTTATGGTAATAAAGATTAAACAACAGTATAAAACCTAATATGAACTGATATATAACTGCTCTTCTATTGAAATATACATGTAACCAAATCAAAATATACAAGTATGACAACATTGGGTTATGTTTTGGTTATGCTTATTACACTGTATTAATCCTATTTCCATTATTTCCATTATTTCCATCCTCTTCCCATCTAGCAACAGTAGTTAATGCTAAATAAAGTATAATTTGTTCTTTGCCCAGTTATCTGCAGGTTTTTGCAGGTTAAAAATAAGACTTTTTGAGACCATTATAAATACAATTTAAGACCTTTTTTACGTCCTTACTGGCAAAAAAGTACAGAGGATAATCGGTGTTGGTTTCATGTAAGTTAGTTATAGTTGTTATAACATCAATAATACAGGTTTTTCCCAAAAGACACATTAAAAAAAGATTGAAAATGCAACTTTTCACAAGTAACCCTAACTTCATTAATACAACGAGACTCGTCAAAGTCATATTTAAGTATTTAAGACATCGTCAGGTCTAAAATCCTGTTTCAGCCCCTGCGGACACTCATTGTAAAAAGCTAGCGTTTGTTTATCACCTTGTAGGCTACATACATTATAAACAATAAACAATAAACAAACTCTAACCAGGTCTGTAAAAGAAGAGCATGCTGGTCAGGTCTTGCAGGAGCTCCATAAAGTTGTGTCTCTGGAGATAATCAGCAGCGTCTCCTTCACTCCGAGTCGCCATCTTTTCCACGTATCCTTTGTTTACACTTGTTGCTAAGATACGCCAACATCCAACGGTTGAGGCGCGTCACTCGCTGACGTAACGAAGTGACAGTAGAGCAGATCTCAGATCACCTCGTGGTCAAACATGTACGGATCGATATCTTCATTACAGCCGCACTAAACTGTTGCTCTTCAGAAGTGGTGAATCTTATTTTATAGTTTATATTGTTTGATGGAGAGAAACAAGTTCCTAGAGCCACGTTGACATTACAGTCCAAAACCCCAAATATATTATTTACAACGACACAATACAGACAAAAGAATAACATCTTAGTTTGTTTTAGAAGCTGGAAACAAAAAATGTTTTGTAAGTTTTGCTTGGTAAAATATTTTCAATGATTAATCTGTATGCCCATTGTTGAAAACTAAAATGTATCACAAATTACTGACAAAGGTTTAGTTTGATTTTGTTTATATCAAATACAATTTATCTGCTAGGGGAAAAACAAGATTGTACATTTGAATAGAATAAATTACTGTGTGTTCACGAAGCATTCTCTTACATATTTAATCACTTGTAGGCACATTCAAAAGGATGAAGAGAAGTATAATGGTTAACAATGGTTGTAGAAACCAAATGATCTTGTTCCAGATTAGATCCATATCCCAAGAAGCCAGACTCCGACATTGTAGCATTTCTTTTCACTTCACTTAGTCCCAAGAAAACACAGATTTTCCAGACATGCCTACTGCAGGTGGCAGCCTCGAGCTGTTGGACATAGTCTGCTTGGTTGAGTGTCCATCACACAGAGGATGTATAATTCCCCATCAGTCCACCTTTTGTTCTGCTTTAAGCTGCTGCAGTGCAGCAAGAGCTTCTTCTTTGGCTTTGTAGCCCAGCAGTTCTGTCTGAAGCTCCCCGGGCTTTGGTGGCGTCTCTGGTATACTCTGGAAAATAAATCAACAGTAAGCACTGTTAAAAACTCTTAAAGATGAAAGATGGGGCCTGTCTGGTTGAATGGGATTGTATTATTTTTCCCCTGCGTAATTATGATGATATGACATCACATTAACATATTTTCATAAGCTACACTTATCTTTCACTGTTGATTTAAAACATCTACACAGACATTCTGGCTTCAGTATCACCTCAGGTTTCACAGTATACCATTATACAGTGTGACCATAAACCCATCTTTGAGTAAAAGCAACAATTTTACAGCCTAATTATGGGAAATTCAGGAAAATACTAACAAATATAGTGTGTGTCATTATATAGCTGAAGCTATATAGCAGCACATACTATATTCTGTGTAATAACAGGAGCATGCTACAGTGACAGCCAGTTGTACAGTATGTACATCGCCGGAGAAAGACTTGTTTGTATTTTCAATATTCTTCAAAAAAACATGTAAATAATCATCATAATAATGCATCCCAACACAGTGCAGACACGTTTATTGATTGTATCTACAGGAAACACAGCTACAGTGAACAAAAGGTTAATTCCGTCCCTCACCAAATCAGGTAGGTAGTACTGGTGGACAGCTTGTGCTCCTGCAAACATGGACAGTAAACTGGCACTGAACATCCTCAGGTACCGAGGCCAAGACACACCGGCTGGCATCTGCACAGAGAGGAAGAGATCAGCAACCAGATCAAAATGATATTCCAGAGTCAAACATGATATAAGATCTTTCTTGGTAAATGAAACCTGGTATTGTCTGTTAAAACAGCAACTTCATGCCTCATAATCAGCACACACCTGAACATTATGACAGATTACATTGAATACTGTGATCCTACATATACAGCTACTGTAAGTATGCGTTATGAAGTGAAGGTCACCATTATAATATCATATATAATATATGTGCAGGTACACAGTAAACCCAGGGACTTGGAGGTTACTGTCAGTGTGTGTTAGTCCTGTAGCGACAGTTAGCGGGGCTAAAAGTTTAACAAACAGAAAACGAGACAGAGCAACAGACATACATGAGGCTAGGAAGTCCTTACCTTGTTTAATTCACTGTCACTACAATAACTGGCCGCAACGTGAAGCTGGTTTTCACCATTTTAAACCAAACTGTGTCATTGAGACACTGCTGCTGCTGAGCTAACACAGAGATCGCTGTAACGAGTTGAGACCTCTCACTCTGTCTCTGTTCACGGACGCACACAAATGTTATGTTTCCCGTCATCTTTTCCTGCGTTTGTAGACTCCGCTTTTGTGATTAAATTAGTGGAGGTGGATTTTAATAGCTTTAAAAGCTTGAATGGAAAAACAACAACTCTTGCTTTCTTGGTTAGGCTACACCTAGCTTTAGCTTGGATTTTCTTTCCTTTTGTTTAAGATCTAAACGACGCCAGCCACATTTAGCGTGCTATAATATGTGTTTCCAACTAACATTGTTGTTGTATAAAGCTGTACAAAACAAACAAAACAACTAAAACACCACGTTGGATGATCTAGAAGGGTAAGATATGAACTTTTCACCGTTTGTGTGTATTTGAACGCGGTCCTGTATTCACCATGGAGTGATAAGCTTAATGAAAACACACCATCTTTGGTCCATAACTTCTTCTACGGTGTAAAGTCGTGTTGGTGCTTTCAGACATACAAGCTCTATCGCCCTCTAGCGGTAGCTTGTACGAACTCATAATAATAACATATATATCCCATGCGTATTTTATCTTATAATGTGCAGTTTTCTAATTAATTATCCACTGTTGGTTTTAATAGTATAAATGTGTAAACTGTGACCAAGCACCCTAATGATCAGTGTGACCCGTGCAGTTCAGCTCACAACCAGCAGGTGGCGGTAAGCCTTCACTCAACCGGAGCAAAACGGAAGCGTTTAAATGGTCTTTGTTTTGGGAGGATTCCCTGCTCCCCGTCTCCTTATTTGAAAACTAAAGAACAAAATGTATGACAGGTATGTTAGTTTGCTCACACACCTTTATGTTTCGTTAATATAGAGGTCGCTTGCGGTTTGAAGATAGCTGCTGGACTGCGTAATGTTGTTAGCGTACTGATAGCTCAAGCTTCTTGTAGCAGCGTCCATCCGTCTTCTTTGTGCCAGCAATGTACCGTATGTGCTCTAATCTTCACACAGCTCATATCTCCAGTGTGTATTAATGCATCTGTCAGCACAATGAATGTTAATTTATTCAAATAAGTCAACAGTTAAGATGGAAGAAAACCAGTATACATCATTGACGGTTCCTACGGATTATTTTCAGCAGTGGTGAGTTGGTGTTGGAGGTGGCCGCAGGTCCTGGGAAACTTCTCATGTTATCTGCTTGACGTCTTCATTTACATGCATGAGAAGGAGACAATTGAACAGCATCTGACACACAACATCATGCATATCTACACACTTTATATTTAGGCTTGTAGCAGCTGATAGTGTGATTATTAAGGATAATAACGTGTCAAAATGTAAATATATGCCCTACAAATGGGAAGGTGACTCATAATGTCTGATTAATAATTAATCAGATATACCCTCATTTATAATTAAAGTATGAAATAATACATGTACCAATTGCCATTTTAATTTAACAATATGATGACACATTTAAATGTATATTTCTTAAAATGCTGACATGTTACTACACTATCCAGCAGTTATTACACCATCGCTTGCTACAGGCTTCATAAACACACCTGCAGAGGCTCTTACTCAGCCTGTTTGCCAACTGTAGGATGGATACAGCCTGAAAAGGAACTTTTTTCACATGTTCGACCTGTAGTTGACTTCATATCAATCACAATCACAATGTTTTTTGCAAGTCTTATCAGTTTTGTTTGTATATCTTCATTCCATTCCGGTCAGCTTTACCTCGGCACACATCAGAGTTAAATGTCAAATGACCTATTTGTGGGTGCAATGAGCGAGTCGAATGGCCTCGACAAAGCAATGAGACATAGCTTGACATACACACTCATGCAGTGAATGAAATGCAGAGAATACAAACAGGTATATATCAGCGCATGTTTGTTTGTAAGTATTGTGTCTTGTAAGTTTCTTCTCACCCACTTTTCCACACACACCCCATTGACCGCCAGACATAATTTGTCTTCTCTCGCTGTGTCCGGACCCGGTTTGGTTTTCTTCTTTTGCGCACATTTCCTCTTCCTTCTTTCTTAAACATTCCTCTTCCTTCCTCCTTCCTCCTCCTCCTCCTCCTCCTCCTCCTCTCTTCTTCTCTCATGCTGCCTCTCTTTTCTAGGTACCAGTCCAGCCAGCAGCACCCCGAGGCTCAATATGTGATGCCCTATCACAACATGGGCCATTACACAGAAGGTCCCAGAGACGAGCCTGTCATGGCCGAGCTGTCTGTCCACCGGGAGCCGTCTCTGTACCAGGATCCCTTTTATCAGAACCACCTCTCGGCCCAAAATCACTACCAGGAGCCGGCCTATCAGCAGAACATCAGGGAGCAGCAGCATCCGTCACACCTGCACCACCCTCAGCATCAACATACAATACAGCAGCATGAGACCAGTGTTCACCACCAATCTCAACCGGCTGGTCCACCTCAAGGTACGGGAGAGATTATTGATCATCGTAAACCCAAAATGTTCTTTTTTACTCATATCTACTGTATTTATATATATATATATATATATATATAATACTAATTGTAGTAGTACATCTGTTAGTGTATACTATATTTTGCTACACTAAAAAGAAAGAGAGTGCCTATCTACGTCACTGCCTGCTGCTTCTCGAATTACTTCTCCTGTGAATTCATCAGCCGGTGTCTTTGTGTTGTCATCAGTCATACCTGAACACGTTCCTCCTCTTCTGTTTTAGTTGTGACGCCGGTGAAGAAGAAGAGAGGCCGGCCCCCTAAGCAGCAGGCGGAGGAGGGCAAGACGCAGGAGGAGGAGGATGAGATTGAGGCGGCCAAAAAGGCAAAGAGGGCTCTCAACCGCTTCAATGGCATGTCAGTGGCTGAGGTTATGGCCAAAACCTTGCCTGACGTTATTACCTACAATCTTGACATTTTGATAGTGAGTTATTTACTGGGGACCTATTAAGAATTGATGTGTTTGTTTATTAGGATAAGTAGTGCATTGGTACTACTGTGTGTAAAAACATTTACACACAGCGTGTCTATGTTGTAAGGTTTCCGTCATGAAAAAAAAAACTGTAATTTCAAGGTCTGTTGCCATGGTAACGTCTTCATTTTTCTCCTCAGATTGGAATTAACCCAGGACTATTGTCAGCCTTCAAAGGACACCATTACCCAAACCCAGGAAACCATTTCTGTATGTTGAAATTAAATTTCATTACTGACTACAGGGAATACATGACAGTGTTCCCATTAACTTCCTCTGCCCTGTTGGATCCACCATGTGTCCATCATTATAAACTCATTACCTAAAATCCAAGTAGAGAAATCAGGGTGCGCAACGATTTCATGAGCTTTTTAATATGTTTCGCCTCTCAAGAATACTTGTTGTCACACTGTGTCTAGTATAGTATATATATTATATATAATATAAAGTATAGTTGTTCTTTTCTCTAAAGAATCTTTTACATGTGTAATAGTAGTCTTTGGTTTTCCTTTATATCTTGTTCCCTGTTACTTGTTATGCTGGTAGGGCAGCCAAACATATTTGTTGTTTGTTGTTGTCACTTTGGCAGCTCCAGTGTTAGCACATCACTTTTACAATATAACATTTTATTGCTTGGCCAAAACCATAAAACTGAATTATGCTGGAAAACAAACCTGCATATTGTCCAGCTGTGTGTGCTGACGTATTCCTGTGGCTTCAGTACAAATGCAATAACTAAAGAATCTCTTAACCTGTTAAAAAAACAAATCTGGGTCCAGTGTTTTGAAAATGTATTTTGTGTGTCTCAACAGCCACTTAATATCACCATACCATAAAATGGGTAACTCTTCTTTCTTATCCAGGGAAATGTCTGTTTCTCTCTGGTCTAACTGACGAGCAGCTCAACTACATGCATGACCAAAGCCTGCCTGAGAATTATAGCATCGGCTTCACCAACATGGTAGAGAGGACCACCCCTGGCAGCAAGGACCTCTCCAGGTGAATAGAAAGAAACACATTCATTCAGAATTAGTGCATTACACAGTGAGGAATGGATACAAATCACCATTACACTGATGTAATCCAGTTCGTCCTTTGAACCAAACATAGATAACATTTTGCTGGTTTTATGTTTTTGTCTCAGTAAGGAGATTCGTGAAGGAGGTCGACAGTTACTTGACAAGCTGCAGAAGTACAAGCCATTAATAGCTGCTTTTAATGGAAAAGGTAAAATAATTAAAACACTGAAACTACCTTACTGTAAGTTTACTGATAGCTTATTCATAAAGCCGTTAGGTAGGTTTCACAGTGTGTGGACATTTGTTTATTTTGGCAGGTATTTATGAAATCTTCTGCAAAGAGACATTTGGTGTGAAGGCAAAGAATCTGGAGTTCGGTCTACAGCCCTACAAAATCCCCGAAACTGAAACGGTATGTTGAAACAGTTGCTTGATTACTCTTAAGATATACTCTACAGTACAAACAACAATCCTCATGGTGTATTTCCTTTCACCTAGGTGTGCTACTTGATGCCATCGTCAAGCCCCCGCTGTGCCCAGTTTCCCCGTGCACAGGATAAGGTACATTTCTACATCAAGCTGAAGGAACTGCGAGACCAGATGAAAGGGCAGGTACCCGGCCACGAGGTGGAAGAGACAAAGTACTCCTTCGATCTGCAGCTAGCTAAAGGTAAACTCTACAATCCCTTTAGCTGTATAGTTCAGCTATATATACCTGCTCATTTTCTGAAACATCTTGTACAGACATAGCTGTGTTTACAGACACGTCTTAGATGAAGATCTAACTCCTTGTTGTTGCGTTTGTTCCGCAGAGGATGCTAAGAGGATTGCAATCAAAGAAGAGCAGGTGGATCCAGAGTATGAAAGCTGTAGTGGGCCGCATGACGACGCCAAGCAAAGCAGCAACACCCCCAACTAAAAGAGTCCGAGGAGAGGTGAAAAAACAAGCTTGTCTGCAGTAGCACACAGGTAGCGTAGTTACCATGTAGTTCTAATTAAATTTAGATGGAACTAGATGGAATGGGACTTATTTTTTATTTATAAATATAACAATTAATAGTTTGAGGTGCATATAATGTAGTAGTTGTAAATAATGTCTCCGAAACACTGTGACTGATTTATCTAAAGCAATTCTAGGTCCCAAAAATTATGGTGTGAAAAGTCGTCGTCACGAGTGTTAAAGGTAACCTGTGGAGTTTTTGGACATCAAGTAGCGCTATAGAGTAGTTTTTCTATGAGTGGATCCCCGTTTTGTGCGCACAAGCTATACAACTATACATATTGCTGCCAATTGTGACCGAGATATCTTGCAGTAATGCACCAGCAAAGGCTAGTAAAGAATCCAGATAATTTTTTGTTAAAGAAAAACAACTTGTGTGTTACCAGGGAGGAAATGCATTTACTGTGTTTTTCAGACCTCAAGAATACACACAATCCATTTTGGTGAGCAACACTGAACTTTAAAATAATTGTGTTTTTGTTTCCAAGAAAACTCCACAGGGCATCTTTAAGGTTACACAGTTTCCAGTAAATTACATAAAACACACAAAACAAGTGGTTTCTAGAAATGAATGCTGAACTATTACTACTAATATGTATTGGTTTATGACTTACAACTGTCTTCCTCAAGCAGCAAAATCAATCTTTATTGTGGTTTCTTGCAGAAACGGACATTGTAGGCCAGTCAGCGGAAAACATGGAATCACTGCAGCTGGAGATGTTCGCTCAGCATACCAGATATCAGCTGTACTAGTAGCATGAGGCATCAATGAGGGAACACAACCCTCTGATGACACCACAAGAGAAGAGGAGTCATACAGCCTCTGACGCATCGCAATGACGCACAAGGGAGAAATGCCCACAACGGTTACATTTTCTAACTCTCACACAAACGGTGCATGTTTTTGGTGTAATTTTTTATCACTATTTATTGCATTTTGTATGGTATGTGTGTCCAGTGACTTATTTTTGTATTTTAAAAGAATGACATTTTATGATTTATCAGCTGTATAAATAGGTAATTGTACTCTGGAATTTCTAATCTGTAATTACAGAGTTATTAAATCTCTTCTAACGCTGGCACATTTTCCGTCTCATTGTTGTAAGTTGTTCATGTGAAGCTGTAATATATAACCTGTAATGTAAGGAAACAAAATGTCTGGTTACTCTTGGTTGGTCCCCAGGCGTCGCAGTGACTGCCCTGAATTTCCATGCATGGATCGATACAAGATAACTTAACTTTAACCCAGTACAATTAATTAAAACAATTATAAATCTAATTTTCAAAAATAGGGAACAGTATAGTATAGATACTTTCATATTTTCTGTTGTAAAGAGGTCCAACACATTAAAAGGATTTAAAGATGAACATTGGAGCCTTTAAACTGTGTAAGACGCCACAAAAGTGTGTTTTAGCAGTTATTAACGTTATTTTTCTTTTTATTGATCATGTGTTAAATTCAATACTGGGGGGGAAAACTGCATGCCCCATAGTCACGATGCAAATAACACACACACGCTGCACAAACACACAACCCTTTAAACATTACAGGCAGCCAATAGGAACAAACCTAGCGGAGTTTAAAAGTCGAGCAGCTCATACCAATGCTAAAATAGGTGAGTACCGTTTTGTTCGTTTTCGATTTTACTCTGCAGTTAACAGCACAAACACCATATTCACACAGGTTTATTGAATAAGAGGATATACAACTCAACTAAATCTAAAATATGCTGCTTCATCGTTATTTTTCGTATTCATACTTTCATACGTTTCTTTTTAAACACCTACGACTGAGACTTGAGATCGTCCGGTGTCAAAGTTGACCGGAACACCGGCAGTGCTGTCACGTCTTTGTTGCCTCTGTTGCCCCTCGTATGTTGTGAATAGAAGAGCGGGATAGATGGAAAATAAACATTTCTCTTTACAGAAGGAACACAATTGAACCGTACCCACCACAGGTTCGTTAAAATCTTCAAATATCGGTGAACTAAGTGCTGTTTGTTTACGTTTAGGACTCCCAGTGGAAACCAAACCATTCATCCGTGCTCAGTTAGCTCCACAGCTAGCTGCCTGCTAACACTAGCTGCACTTGTGGCTACTGCTACTGAACTGTTGTTAACTAAAACCAAACCACTGGTATCTCGAGTACGAAACAGCCACAGTTGAAAGGAAGTAGACACAAACTCGTACCTTTCCCTGCCCGGCCCAGCAGTGTGTCTGAGATTGTGTTTTAAATGGCACATTGATGGCTGGATTCATCCGGGTTTAGCTTGTGAGGTAGCATAGCTATTGAAGAGGGAAGAGACATTTGAGCAGGTGTAGATGTTTGTTAACAGTACACCTACTGTAGTTGTACTTTTCATGAAATACTGAGTGTTTTTAATGTTTTAATGTGTAATCACCACCTGAGTTATCCTTTGTTGGTATTGTTTATGTTGTGGTTTATCTTTTGTTGCTGACTCCACAGTTTGTCTACAATGCCCTGGCACATGCATTCAGTTTCATACACGGCCACACTCTTTAATATGCCAAAGCACATGTACATGACCTAGCTATGTTTCCTCAACATCCATATTGATTTATTTAATAAAGTCAAACCGCCCAAAAGATGGAAGAAAAGCTGAATGGATCATTCCCTGTTGTCTCCCCGGAGTATCTTCAACAGTGGTGAGTCTTCCTCCTCACCACAATGTGGCCACACAGGAGTCCGATTATATCCGCAAGCCTCTGAATGGCAGTGTGATGAAAATGAAATGAAAGCATGTGCGCCCAGTTGCCCGTTTAACTTTTGTTTTGTCATTGTTTTCATGATATGCCTTTTGGTTTGTGCACCGTGAATGACTTTGTTTTAGCCCAATGGCATTTTACTGTGGTTTAACACAATGAGAGCATATTGGTGGTGGAGTATCTTTCCCATTCATATGACAGGAAGCTCTTTGATTCACTGACCACTGTTGACTGGGAACTAACAGTGTGGGGTTTTTCCGTGTGGTGTGAAAATAAGCACTAGGATATAGAGACAGATTACAGATACACTGATTTACACTGATTCCACGTTTTAACACCAGATTGACAGTGAACTCAGTTGCCAGTTTATTAGGTCCACCTTGTTAAAACTAATGCAACCTTGTACAAGAGAGCTCCAATACAGTTTCTAGTATTTAGTACTATCATTGACGTAAAGCTTCACAATCACCTCGCCGAGACGTTTTCAACTAAACTGGCAACTAAATATAGTTTTTATTCACTGAATAAACTGGTGATTTACTCAGATCTTATTAAGTTCTAATAAAGGAACACATCCTCTGTGAGGTTTAACGTACTCTCATTAATTGTAAGAGAATGTATCAGTTGCATTTATTTATTTTTTTTTAAACAAAGTCACTGATCGTTGCTGTGTAACACTCAAATACAGAAAATAGTTCAACCAAACCAAAAAGCACACAGCTTACACAACACACGGGTCTGACTCAGCTTTAACGCTGCAGCACACCCCACTGCCATTTCACTTGTTGTATTTATAATTTCCCCCGTTTTTAAAAGAAATATTCTTCGACCACAGGGTTCAGTCTGCACAGCAGTTTCAAGCTCTCCAGGCCCAATATTCAGGCTTCAACCCCAACCATCAGTTCCACTACCCGGAGGGGCAGGCGGGAGAGACAGCCATGGCACACATGGCTGATCCAGAACCCATGATGGATCAGCAGGAACCTGCCAACCTGGCAAAACGTACTATGATCTCTTTTGAATAAAATATCTTAACTGTTAATAGATCAGCATGCTTTTGGAGAAAAGCTAAGTTAGTGACAGCTTTGTCAAATATGTGTCTTTCTGAAATAATTTGTAGTATTTAGTTTGCATGACTTTGATGCTTCAAGACACTTCAAAAATGAAATGAAATAGAGTAATATGAAGTAAGATATAGATGAGCAAGAGTCTGTCAACAGTTCAACAAAGTGCAAGGACATGGTGACGGTTCAGACAGTTCTTCCTTATTATATAATCTCTCTGAACTTTTCTTGTAGCCCCAGCCAAAAAGCGAGGCAGACAAGCTCAACCCAAGGAACCCAAGGCACCCAAACCACCAAAAATCCCAAAGCCACCGAAGCCACCTAAGGAGCCAAAAGCACCAAAAGCCAAACCTGGTCCTAAGCCCAAGAAGGCCACTGAGGCTCAGGCAGATGGCAAGCAAGAGAAGATTGATGAGAGCTTCAAGAAGGTGAAGAGGAAAGTTGATCGCTTCAAGGGAATGTCAGAGGAGGAAGTCATGAAAAAAACTCTACCAGACCTGCTGGATTACAACCTGGACTATGTCATTGTAAGGTTCTTTGTCCATCTGTCTTACAACAGAACCAAACCTTGGTTTTTTGGAATAAATGTGAGATCGTAAGCTTCAAAAACATCTGCCACTTTGCTTTCAGATTGGCATCAATCCAGGACTGATGGCAGCTTACATTGGACGGTGGTTTCCAGGTCCTGGAAATCATTTTTGTAAGTTGTGTGACAAGAATGATTTTGAGTTGTGCAATAGTAAAAAAAAAAAAAAAAGGGTTCCTGTGCTGGTCTGCAAAAAAGAAATACTATAAGAGAGTGTATGATCCTGTACTACCTTTGTAAGACCCAGTTGTAGAGTGGGGACATTTCTTGTGAAGTCAGGTTATCGAGGTTCACATTAAATTACCTTGCTCTTCCCATGTTATAAGTGAAGATTAAGCAGGATGCTGTCACATGCTGTCAATTAATTAGTTTCAGAAAAATACATGTTTGTGTTGTGCCACAAGAGATGAATAACTGGGTACTGCTTTAATTTCAGGGAAGTGTTTGTTCCTGTCTGGATTTACTGAGGAGCAACTCAACCACATGCATGACACCACCCTGCCTGTCAAATACAAAATGGGCTTCACCAACATGGTGGCCAGGGCGACACCAGGGAGCAAAGACCTCTCAAGGTAGGCCTATAGTGTGAAGCGTGGCATCGCTTTGATATTACTGGAGCCATAAAATCTATATTTAGAGCAAAGTGGAAGCATCCTGAGCAAAGTTGTTCTGATACCAGTATCAGAAATTCCTCTGATACTGCCTACATGGTGGTATCAGGTATTGGCGTGTCCGTGCATTTTTTCCTGGGATAGCAAAGTCATGACTTGCCCTACTCTGACTCTGATAAAGGGTTTAACCTGAGCCAGGCCATACAACAATAATAGCAATCATAGAGGCTTAATAGTATACGCGTGTTAAATTATAATAATATACAGTGTACTTGTATCAGAATCGATATCGGGAACTGGAACATCTCTAAGTTCCAGTACCATGTTTTATTCTGAAGTTGGATGGGTAAAGAGGAATCATAATGACTGACTGTGTTAGGCTGAGATTCCTGTCACCTTTGAGATAAGAGTTTTGTTGTAACAATGTATTGGAACCATTTTTCTTTTGTTTTCATCTCTACAGTAAAGAGTTACGTGAAGGAGGCAAAATTCTTGTAGAGAAACTGAAGAAATTCAAACCTCTAATTGCTGTTTTCAATGGAAAATGTAAGTACTCTTCTACTTCAGAGCAATGGTTACAATAAAATAATTTGTTAATGTGAATTAAACTAATTTATTTCTGTTTTTTTCCCCCCAAGGCATCTATGAAATGTTCTGTAGAGAGATGTTTGGCAAAAAACCAAAGAAACTTGACTTTGGTTTGCAGCCACACACGATCCCCGACTGTGACGTGGTGAGCACCTGATTGCTTTGCAATTTCATTATAGACTCCTCAAATATTGATGAAAGACAGCCTCATTTTCCAAATGGGCTTCTCAAAATAGATGTATTCTGCATTTTACCCCAGAGACTAAATGGTCGTCTTATCTGTTCAGTAAAATCAATGGCTCAGATCAGTACTTGATAGAAATCGTAAATGGTGGTGCATTGTTATAAATTCTGTTAACATCTAAAATATTTGTTTTGTTTAAGACTTAAAAGCCCATAGCATTTTCATAAATCAAGAGTTGTCAGTTTAGAAAATGAACTGTAGGTATCATCTTTGAAGGATTGTTAAGACATTTATTTCTCCTGTACAGGCTCTGTATCTGATGCCTTCCTCCAGCGCCCGTTGTGCTCAGTTCCCTCGTGCTCAGGACAAAGTTCACTTCTACATCAAACTGAGGGAGCTCAGAGATAAGCTGAAGGGCATCCAAAAAAGCACTG